GGTCAAGGACGTCATCCGGTCATCTCGGTCTTTTGACGTGCTGTGTGCAGCGCTCCAAGCCCGCCTGGCACAGTCACGCGCCGACCGACTACAAGCCCTGCTCGGCCGCCAGCAGCTCGGCGATCAGAAGCCGACGGCGCTGTTGCGCTCAATGCGCAACGAGCTTGCCGCAGCCGGGGACGCCCCGGTTGATACGGAGCTCTTCCGTACCCTATTTCAACAACGGCTACCGCAGCCCGTCCGTGCTGCCCTCGCCCTCCTGCCAGCCGACAGCACGCTTGACGCACTGGCAGAAGCGGCCGACCGGTACCTGGAAGCTAGCGGACCCGACCCACGGCTATCAGCGATCGCGGCACAGCCGTACACACAGCCGGCACCGCCCATCGCTGCTGCAGTGACAGCCCCAGCGCCAGCTGCAACCCCTGCGCTGGACACCGTCATCGCCTCCCTGGTCGCTAAGATGGAGCGCCTGGAGGCCAGCAACCGACGACTCGAGGACGCCGTGCGACGCGACCGCAGCCGTTCCCGGCCGCGCCAGGCGCCTCGCCAGTCACGCCGCCCGTCACCGGCTCGTCCTTCAACGCCGCCGCACGACGACACGCTGTGTTGGTACCACCAGCGATTCGGCGCCCAAGCGCGCCGATGCAAGCTGCCGTGCTCCTGGATCGCCTCGGAAAACTGAGGCGCCCCGTGCTGATGGCGCAAAGCACGGGCGCCCCTCCTGCCGCGCCACTCCTCTTCGTGAGGGACACGGAGACGGACCGGCAATTTCTAGTCGACACCGGGGCGCAGGTCAGCGTGCTGCCTCGCCGCTGCCTGCCCAACGGGTCTACGCTGACCCCTGCTCCTGTCGGCCAGCAGCTCGTCGCGGCAAACGGCTCACCGATCGCGGTGCACGGCACCTGCCTGCTGGACGTCACCTTGAGTCAGCAGCACCGCCTGAAACATCGATTCTTCGTCACTGACGTCACCACACCCATCTTGGGCACCGACTTCCTGGCCGCACATCACCTCGTCGTGGACGTTGCCAACCAGCGTCTCCTGCGGGACGGCACCGTCTGCGCCAGCGCCGAGCGGTCAAGGCTGTGCTCCATCGGAGTTCGTCTCGTCCGGGAGCAGGCTGCTGCTCGCTTCGCAGCTGTCCTCGCCCGGTACCCGGATGTGACCTCACCAAAACCTGGACCAACACCGGTGAAGCACAACGTGACGCACCACATCGTCACCAAGGGTCCACCGGTGTACCAGCGGCCACGACGCCTCCCGCCGGAGCGCCTTCAAATCGCACGTGCTGAGTTCAACAAGATGCTCCAGCAAGGCATCATTCGACCGTCGAGCAGCAGCTGGACAACTCCACTCCACATGGTGCCAAAGAAGAGACCCGGCGAGTGGCGTCCTTGCGGCGACTACAGAGCGCTGAACGCCCGCACCGTACCAGACCGCTACCCGCTGCCGTACCTGCGGGACTTTTCAGCCGACCTGCATGGGTGCACCGTCTTCAGCACCATTGACTTGGTGAAGGCTTACCACCAGATCCCGGTGGAACCTGCCGACGTCCCCAAGACAGCCATCACGACACCGTTCGGCCTCTACGAATGCGTTCGGATGCCGTTCGGCCTCAGAAACGCCGGACAGACCTTCCAGCGTTTCATGGATGAGGTCCTCCGCGGCATACCGGGCTGCTTCGTCTACCTGGACGACATCCTGCTGGCCAGCCCGACTGCCGAACACCACCTGCAGCTCCTGGACCAAGTGCTTCAGCGCCTCAACACCTACGGCGTCGTCGTCAACAGGCACAAGTGCGTCCTGGGACAGGAGCAGGTGGTGTTCCTCGGCCACTCGGTAGACGCCGACGGCGTCCGCCCGCTGCCTGGACGAGTCGAGGCCATCAAAGACTTCCCGGAACCGACCACTCAGTCCCAGCTACGGAGGTTCCTGGGGATGGTAGCCTACTACCACCGCTTCATCCCCCAGGCAGCCGAGCTCCTGCAGCCTCTGCACGCCTTAATCACCCACAAGGCAAAACGCTCGAGAGCGCCTGTCACGTGGACAGACTCGGCGCGGCAGCGTTTCAAGAACGTCAAGGACGCCCTGGCCACGGCGACACATCTCGCACACCAAGTCCCGGACGCGCCGCTCGCCCTCTTCGTCGACGCCTCGGACTGCGGAGTGGGCGCCGTCCTCCAGCAGCACGTCGCCGGCGAGTGGCAGCCCCTCGCTTTCTTCTCAAAAACGCTCCAACCTGCGGAGAAGAAATACAGCACGTTCGGGCGCGAGCTGCTCGCTATCTACCTGGCCGTCCGGCACTTCAAGCACGCCATCGAAGGACGGTCAGCAATCATTTTCACAGACCACCGACCACTGGTAACGGCCATCGGCTCCTCGTCCGACCGCTACTCGCCGCGAGAGGTCCGCCACCTGGACTACATCGGCCAGTTCGTGTCTGACATCCGCCATGTGCCTGGCAAGGACAACGTGGTCGCCGACACGCTGTCACGCACGGTCTCGATGGTGGCCCAGCCGCGACCCCCGCTCGCCGACTTCACTGCCATCGCCAAGGCCCAGTCCGAAGACAGCTCGCTGGAAGACCTCGAGGCCTCAGACACCTCACTGCGCCTGCGCCACATCCCGGTCGGCGATGGACTCTGTCTGCTCTGCGACGAGTCCACCGGATCGCCTCGGCCGGTCCTCCCAGAGGCGCTGCGCCGGCCCTTCGCCAAGGCTCTGCACGACCTGTCGCACCCTGGCGTCGAGGCCACCGTCAAGCTCGTCTCCAAGCGGTTCGTCTGGCCCGGTATGGATCGCGACGTGCGCCGCTGGACCCGAACCTGCCTCGCCTGCCAGCGCTGCAAGATCGGTCGGCACACCAAGTCCGACGTCGGCACCTTCCAGCCGCCTCAGCAACGCTTCGACCACGTCCATGTAGACCTCGTCGGCCCGATGCCTCCATCAAGAGGCCACTCGTACCTTCTGACGTGCGTCGACCGGTTCACTCGGTGGCCAGAAGCCATCCCGCTGCCAGACATTCGCACCACCACGGTGGCTCGAGCCTTCCTCGAGCACTGGATCGCCAGGTTCGGTGTTCCATCCATCATCACCACCGACCGCGGCGCTCAGTTCGAGTCTGCCCTCTGGTCGGAGCTTCAGCGGTTCCTCGGCTGCCAGCGGACTCGGACAACCAGCTACCACCCGGCCTGCAACGGTATGGTGGAACGCCTGCATCGCCAGCTGAAGGCCAGCCTCCGTGCACACCAGGCTACGTCATGGACGGACGTGCTGCCGCTGGTGCTCCTGGGCATACGCTCCACCATCAAGGCGGACCTGCAGGCGACGTCAGCCGAGCTGGTGTACGGCTCCTCACTGCGGCTTCCCGGCGAGTTCTTCATCAGCAGCCAAGCCTCAGCAGCATCACCGGCCGGTTTCGTACAAGACCTGAAGCGCGCCATGTCTCAGGTGCGGCCGACACTCCCACGTCCGGTCCAGCGCGCCACGTACGTCCCGACGGCACTCCAGACGGCGACACACGTCTTCGTGCGCAGGGACTGTCACCGCTACCCGCTGGACGCTCCATACGACGGACCGTTCCCGGTTACCGAAAGGACCACCAAAACCATCACCATCGACCGTCGACAGAAAAAGGAAGTCATCAGCATCGACCGGTGTAAGGCCGCCTTCCTGGAGACGCCAGATGAATCCGGTCATCGACAGCCTGACCTGCCGACTGTGCAGCCGCACGGTACTCAGTCCAGCGGCCCGCCGCGCCGGCCGCGCCACCGCTCAGCAATGAGCCCAGCGGCCCGGAGCTTCTGATCTACGGTGACGCACCAAATCGCCCTGCAGCCGTCGCTCGGGCTGACGCTGCACCATTGCAGCCTCAGCCGATACTACGGACGACCCGCTCCGGCCGCGTCATACGACCTCCGGTAAGATATCGCCATGTCACTTTTGTCCGCGACATGTCTGGCGAGGGGGTACTGTAGGGATCATCTACGCGATTTGTCATCTATGCGATTTGTCATTTCATGTTGTCATTTTCATTAATTGTCGCCGCTTTATTAATCAATCTGTTACCTGTTGTCAATTGCGCGTCAAGTTTGTTTGTTATTTGTAAACCGGCCTGCCGCTGGCCTCAACCTTCCTAGTAACCGCTGTGCCATACGCTTTAGAACATATCGTGCAAAGGTCACGGCGGCACCCCTGAGGCGGCCGCTGCCCGTACGTTTACGAGCCCATTGTCGTGACGTCACGCCTGTGAACAAAGGTCACGGTAGGGGCTCTCCCGGCAGCCGGACGGTGACTCATACGTTGAGCTTGTCTCTCGCCGCGCCTGCGGGCATATTGGTAGTACTAGGGACGGCCAGCATATGACCGCGGTTTTCGGCGACATTGTCAATTCGTTTTTCGACTCTGCTGTTCGCTGCAAGACCAATACACATAGAAAACGGCTCGGGCATTTGGAGAAGAGCGGCTACTCTGAGGCGATGGAAGAACACGGAGATTCACACAAACGACCTGACTAGGTTGCACCGGCCACAGTCGACCGAGGTGGGCTTCCGCGCCCTTAAAGACGCCTCTGACTGGCCATTGCGCTGACACCCTGGTCGGACCACGGTCATTGATCGGACCCTGCCACTGGTTCGTGCTCAGGCTGCCTTAGCGGGTAGACCTGCTCGACCAGACGCCCCACTGGTGGGCGAGTGCTCGGTTCCGACTTTCACCGCCGGTCCAACAGCGTTCTGCTGGTTCCCGCCGATCCGGTTACGACACCGCAAGTGCCGTACCGACTCGGGCGTCCCAGGTGGGCGTAACGGTTACCACACCAGTTCGCGACCCCCAGGCTCTGTCAGCCGTCGTACGGCTCTCGGACGGACACTCTAATAGATCAGCCACAGATCAATAGGTTGTCACGGACCGTCCGTCCAGCCACGCGCTACCCACAGCGCAGTACGACAGCTTAATAAATCCAAAACACCTTGTCATCAAGGTGGATTTATTAAGCGGATTCCACTGTACTGATATTGCATTCAGCTTGGTAATTGATGCATAATTTTGATTTGTTTGCTTGTTTCCAGAGCTTCATGCACTTGGATGGTACCTTGCCTAGGTATACTTCGGCCTTGCTTTCTGAAATAAGTTCTTGAAAAGTTTCATCAAATATGTGTTTAAGTTCTTATCATATGCTGCTTTTTACAATATTTTGTGCCATTCCAGTCACCATATTTCAATTAAACTTGTTTTACTTAGAAAACAATTTAAGACAAATTCCTAGTAAATCAAAGCATCCAAGTTTTGTATTCATACTAACAGATGATCAAGATACAGTGCTGCAGGGAATGGTAAGCACATACGAGTACATTTGGAAGCAGATGTTTTGATCTTACTTTGTTGTTATTTGGAGCTGTTTTTTTAATAATTATTTGGAGGTAGGTAGTCTCAAAGCAGCTGTTGGTACTGAGTACCACACCTTTATATTTAATGTGCATGCTGCATAGTGGATGATACTTGATAAGGTACTTTACTCCTGCTTCGTGCCTTGTAGCACTCATTTGTTTTATTTCTGAAAATATGAGATTACTGTTAGTGTTTCACTTTTTGCTCCCATTTTGTTCTGTTTTGATTTCAGCTCAATGAACTTTTATGTGAAATGTGCAATCAATTGTTCAGCCTCCACAATGTTTTTTTTTTCTTCTTAGTTTCTCTTATTTTTGCGCTTCCCTCAATAATATGGTCTGATTGCTTTTCAGCATCCCATGAGTTTTACTAAGAAGTTCTTTCAAGATGGAGGCGTGGAGTTCAAGAATGCAGTAAGCCCTCTTTTATGAATGCGTTTTTGGCTATGCAGATTGGTGGTTCTAGTTGTGATGTGATCAGTGCTCTTAAAGCTCTCAAAGCGAGTTGAGTCTTGTCTGTCCCCACACCTGAGCCTGCCCTGGTATCGGTATTCGGTTATGTCCCTGGCCTGCGCGCCCCGATAGATGGCGCTCCATTCCGGGCAGTGCGTGTCGCTCCGAGCCGAGTATAGGCTCGGAGCGACCCGTGGATAATATGCTCCGAGCTGAGTATAGGCTCGGAGCGGCCTGTTGAGTCGTGCGCCGCACGGAAGCTCGCCGGTACAGGTAGTGGCAATACGCGCTCTCTCGATCGACACAGATTGTGCGGGACGCAGCAGATGGGGATTGCAGGACTGTGAACGATAGTCGCTCCCAGAGCAGAGGCGGATCCAGCTCAGAGTTTGGGGGGGGGGGCAAACAATAACAATTTATCGATTCTTTCCATGCCTCGTCCATAGGCGTAATGTTACAATTATGCCGTTTGGGAGGGGCAAATGCCCATTTTGCCCCCCCCCCCCTGGATCCGCCACTGGGTGCTCCTCCCCTGCCCATGAGATGAAATCAGGACAGGACACATTCCGTATAATTTGAGGTCGATTTCGACAAGCGGCTTACATCCTAACGAAATTTACCTTTGGAGGCAAAAGGATAATAGGCATGTGATAGCGGATGAACGGGTCGGTGGAACTTCGAGGTAATTGGCAACTGCAAAGGGGTTCATAGAGCCGTTACCCCCATTAGAACTCGATTTTAGATAGGATTGTTTGATAATGTATTGATACTCTATCTATGCCTCGTTTGCGGACGTCCGCCTGTCCCGTCCCGTCCTCAGCCCTGTGGTTTACCCTGTGTGCCCCTCGTCCGCCGCAGTTCGTGTCGACCCCGGTGTGCTGTCCGAGCCGGGCCACGCTGCTGACGGGCCGGTATCAGCACAACACGGCAGTCCGCAACAACACTCTGGCCGGCAACTGCTGCGGCAGCGACTGGAGAGGCCGTTCGGAGCCGCGCACCGTGGCGGCGCTCCTCCGGCAGCGCGGCTACAACACCTTCTACGCCGGGAAGTACCTGAACCAGGTCAGCGGACAACGGGGAACGGCACGAGACGGGGACTAGACTGTCCTGTTAACTTTTAGTTCTAATTGTGCTTTTACTTTGTAATGACTAATGGTTATTGAGGTATAAGTGCGTTTTTTTAGATGAGACGGTTGTTTCAGATGGTTCAAAATGTTAACCATCGGGCTCCTATGAAAGCACAAACTTATCAAGCTCGCTCTTATTCGTTTATGACAGATATATAGTACATATATTACCACCCTTTTTTGTACAATTCACACGATATGATCGCATTACCCTTCAATTTTTTGTTGATATATCAAGGTTTCGGGGCTAATACTCGCAAGTCACAAAATAACTCGTTCTAGTAAAGCACAGTTTTTTTTTACAATGCACATATTTGCAATATACTTGCAAAAGTCACTTTGGATGTCTGAACTTTCCTGTAGTGTAAAACAATCCGAGCAGCACATAAATGTAATGTAGTTCACCCTATCTATCGCGATTCTTATGGCCGCCTCCTTTGACACACAGCCGGCCCTCCCGAAATGATCGCCATAGTTAAAAGTCTATAGATTCGGCCAACGCGTGCACTCCTGAAACACTGCACCTCGTGCACTAATAGACCACTGGTGCTGGTTACCCATTGCACCGAATAGTATCGCTTCAGTACATCTCGGTCCGATATTCCAGCACAGATCGGCAAACGTAGGCGATACGGAGGCATAGGCCTCAGCTGCTGGGACGGCAAAACATGTAGCAATGGCTTCAAGTGGCGACGTAGACGATCACAATTCACGTCCCTTCAATGATTTTGTCAGAAATAACGACATTCCAATGATAATACGGCTCGCAACATTTATCGTCAACCACGGCACAATATTCCGCGATGTTCTACAATCCACATCTACCGAAAATGACGAAAGCCCTCGGCGTGTATTGTGTAATACCCTATCCACCCATAATCAGTATCTGCTGCTCGCTCCCGCTCCCCGACTCGGCGCGGTCCTGCAGCTGTGTCTCGGCTGCCGGGGCGGCTGGGCTCACTGCTCTGTCTCGCCCGGCCCCGGACTGTCGGCGAGCTCGTGCAGTGTGTCGTGCAGGTGCCTCCAGCCGGGCACGAGCAGGTGGTAGTAGACGTAGTCGGAGCCGTGCCAGGGGTACGGCGCGGCACACCACAGCAGCAGCAGCGTCTGGAGGAGGGCGGGCGTCGGTCAGCTGTCCTGAATTGATAATGCATAGTTCATTAGTTGGATAGCACTGGTTTGGATAGCGGTCATTGACGTGTTCAATCACAGGATGTATTCCGATCCGGTTATCCAGCGCCTTCGCATGGGTTCGTCAATACATTAATCTCCGTTCAAATTCACCTTGGCCCCCCAGTGCCTCGGGCTGGCTACAAAGCCGTGATCCCTCTGATCTTGGGTGGAATTTCTGCCAGTTTGTCGTGACCCATACTCGGTACTTATGTTGCACGGCTTGCTGTTACGACTTTATCTTTCAGCCCTATCTCGCTTCACGGACCCACCTTTGCCGTCCAGTAGCCGGGTATGAATCTGTCTGTCAGATATGAGGGTATGATCTCTTCACGGACCCACCTTTGCCGTCCAGTAGCCGGGTATGAGTCTGTCTGTTGAGTGTTGGGTATGAGTTCCCTGCTCGAACCCACCTTTGCCGTCCATTAGCCGGGTATGTCTGTTTATCGGGTATGGTGCTGTTCCTACACGGGCCCACCTTTGCCGTCCAGTAGCGGGTATGAGTCTGTCAGATATGAGGTTATGGATCTCTCGCTCGAACCCACCTTTGCCGTCCAGTAGCCGGGCAGGAGTCTGTTGGGTAGGAGGTTATGGTTCTCTCGTTCGAACCCACCTTTGCCGTCTAGTTGCCGGGTTTGTCTGTTTGTCAGGTGTGGTGCTGTTCCTACATGGGCCCACCTTTGCCGTCCAGTAGCCGGGTATGAGTCTGTCTGTTGGGTAGGAGGGTATGGCTCCTACATGGACCCACCTTTGCCGTCCAGTAGGCAGTAGCCGGGTATGAGTCTGCAGTCTGTTGGTAGGAGGGTATGGTTCCTACACGGACCCACCTTTGCCGTCCAGTAGCCGGGTAGGAGCGCCTGCAGCCGGTCGCTGACGATGGACACGGTCGCCACCACGGCGTACACGGTCCAGTAGCGCAGCCAGCGGCGCCGCCGCGCCGCGTCGCCCGACTCCAGCGCCCTCACGGAGCGGAGCGCGGGCGCCGCCAGCGCCGCCACCAGGAGGATCAGCGAACTACTGACGGCCAGCAGCCAGTAGCCGGCCAGGGCCGCCAGCACCGCTGTGGGAGAGCCACAGAAAATCACAGACTGTTACGACTGCTATTACCAATATGATCACAGAAAAAACGATCCATCCTGTCACCTTTGAACCTTTGATCGAAGCCACAGTTGAACCTTTCCCACATTGTTGAGTTATGATTGTCCCATTTTGGGTATCGAATAAAATCTGAAGATGAGACGAAGATGAGTTGAAGAAGGCTGATATCGGTAAACAATAAACATCGTTAACATTTACCATTCCGCTTTGCTAACGGAGCTGTAGACGAACCTGACCTGGACTACCATGCCTAGTGGCTAAGCATCGTAAAGTATTCATTGAATCTGTTCTCACGGATGCTAGCCTGCACAGAGGAGTCTGCCACCGGTGCCTCGGCCCTCCCGGTACCGTTCGATGTACTCACCTCTGGAGGTAGGGTGCTGGATGAGACTGTCGTCGCCGCCCAGTCGCGCCACGGCCGGCCGGACGTAGGTGTTGAGGCAGTGCGCCAGAGCCTCTGAGAGCACCGCCTCTGCCGGGGCAGCGGCGGTACCGGCGGCGGGGACGGCACTGGGCGGGGAGGGGAGCTCCTCCACCACCGGGTCCACCGGGTCCTCCCGGAGCTCCACCGTCACATAGCCGGCCAGGGCACCGTCCGCCGACCCGCCGCGGCGGCCCAGGCCCCGCAGAAACCCCCAGATGCCGCCCTTCTTCCCCATGGCTGGCGAGGGCTCTCCCGTGTCCCTGTGGTCCTCGGGTTCACTGCTCAAATCCGCGCACTGGTTAGGATGTTTATAACAGGAACTTTGTCACAAACACTTCGTGGTGTTTAGAAAGACATCACGTCCCCGATCAAGTGTTGCGAGCCACTGCAGATGTGAAATCACGGCACCACTTGCTACCACCGTCGTGCGGTATGTCCCAGTGGACGGTCGGCCCACCGGCGCACCTGTGCCGTCCGTAAACTCACGTGACGCGCCGCGGCCGCCGCCCTCACTGCGCCGGTACGATCGGTCGCGCGAGTGTCGCGGTGGCCGAGCGCGGCGCCTCGCCAGCTGGCCGGCCCCTGGGGTGACCGACCGACCGACCGAGCGGTGCGTGCCCTCCGCCTGTCACCGCTGACACTGTGGCTCAGGTGCGGGTTATCGGTCGGAGAGACCGCCGCTGCCAGCGTCGTAGTGACGACTGTCGACCGGCTGCGGGCGCTATAGACACAGGTGGTTCGTGGTCGACTGGTGTGCTGTCTGTCGGATAGATGAAACGGCGTTACTCCAGCTGTCCTGTCCTGTCCTGTCCTGTCCTGCCCTGTCCTCGCAGTTCACGCGCTACCCCCGGCGGTGGGCTCAGACTGACTGCGTCGACTTCCACCGCAGACTACGTTGTGTTGCGTGCGGTCGTCCCTCCTTCCCCGCTCGGTTGAGTGTTCAGAAGGCAGCCGTGCGATGGCCCTCGGCCGCTATCCGTTGATCTGTTCCTGTCACCGGATTAGCGCCGCTCACTGTCGCCAACTGGAAGACAAAGACACGGTCATGGTAACAGGCAGCGCGAGTGGAGGTCGACGTCAGCTACTGGCTTTGTCGGTCAGTTTTTGTCGCCCTATATTTTCCTTTGTTTTGTATTCTTAGCTACACTGAAATCATACATGGAACGTGATATGTGAAATTCATTACACGGGCTCCCGCGTCACAGCGCGCTGCTGCAAAGCAAGGTTACCGTTGCCGTTCTGTTGCTGATCCCACTGAAGGCCATCGGTCGCTCGGCGGATGTCAGTTGTTCTTATAAGTCGCTCACTCTACTCTTAGTGCCATGTCTGAGATCGTTTAAACGGCATTTAAGAGTGCTCAAGACAAGTTACATAGGCATCACAGAATGTTTCATTTATCTCTTGGAGACGGGTTAGGTACACTCGGGGGCAGATTGATGTTCCACCACTCCCTACCCATCGGGCTCCCATGGCTCAGCACTGGCTGCTGCTACCCCGAGTGTGCATATGTAGCCGATGTCGCTCCCCCTCGCTCTCCGCTATATCCAGCCAGTGCAATTAGCCGGCTGATGACCCAAAGGCTCATGAGACCCGTGACTCATGAGAACGATCAGCTGTTCGGACTCATAGCACTCTATTGTCTGTTTATCATAGTCAGGCAGCACGACAACCTCAGCTGTCACACAATGTGGTCTCCACTCTACAGATAGCCTATTTCCACGTGGTCTCTCCCCGGCCCTCGGTCGCTGACCGGTGGCCCCATTCCTCCTGATCTTACCTGTTTCTCAGACGTATGTCCGATTCTCCGCCTCTTCAGCTCCAGTTCACACCGGGCAGTTCACACTGGGCAGTTCACACCAGACAGCTCCTCCAGTCGACACTATACGACAGGCTCTTTGTTACGGCGGGCAGGAGCACTGCACCCGTCTGTCCGCGGCGCGGCGGCGGCACTGGCGGACTGCCAGCCTGCCATACCACTGTGCCCCTCCCCGTCAGGCCTCCCCACTCCGCCGCGACCACCGCGGCCGGCCGGCCGACAAAACAGTGCACCGCCGCCGACAGTGAACTCTGTCAGGGTCACCCGTCCTCGACACGGGCGACGCGCCGACTTCGACAGGTCACACAGCGGGTCACCGGCCACTGAGAAACCCTAAAAAACTGTCAGAGCGGTCGCCAAGGATGGGTCACGCGAGGCCCGGCGGGGAGGGCTGGGCTTTGTTGTGGCGCGTGTGACGCCAGAGGAGGGTCCACCGGGCGCCCGTCTGCGTCCTGTCAGTGCTAGTTCGGACACTTCTTTGTTATGTTTTACGGCGGCGGCTGATAATACGGCAGTTACGTCTCGTCAGAGCCGATACCGGCTGACGGATGAGTCAGAGTTGTGGCGGTGCAGGCGGCGGCACGACCCGACGCCCGGAGTACGGGAAAGTGTCGGACTGTTTCGGCTTGTTTTCCGCTAACGCTTGTTTCAGGCGCATTCAGGCTCGTCGTACTCCATTACCGGATCATCACTAACAGCATAGGCAATGCTGTGTAAAACGACAGTGGCGGCGGAACACCTTCATTAAAGGGGGGGGGGGCACTGCCGACTTTTGGTCCCATTCTTTCCATGCAACGCTCATAGGGCTAATGTTAAAATGTCAAATTCAAAGGGGGGGCACGGTGCCCCGGTGCCCTCCCCGTTCCGCCGCCTATGTATAACGATACAAATGTAACCCTAGTTTCACCATGCGCTCAATCTATAAAAAAAAAAATCACGGTACCGGCATTCGGCAACTGGCAAGGATCATCCGGCTAACCGGTTATGTCAATGCATGTACTGAAAATTTCGGGTCACTGAAGCCATGTAGGTAATAGCTCCGGCCAGATGAGCGCGGTGCCAGTATCTGTTTCTCCTGCCCTGCAAACAGCCGTCCCCAGGCCGTGGTTTGAACTGAACGTGTGCGCTGACAATGACTACTACCGCTGACGCGCGCCAGGCAGCTTTGTTTGCTCTCAGACTGTCGATATCTGATAGGGGACGACGCGCCGGCGTCCAAAAAACGATTACCACTTGTTGTCGTTGAACAAACACATCACTGATATATGTCACTGGCACTATATAGTTCACTGATGTAATCCTTGGACCGAATGCACGAGCTCTCTCTCTCTCTCTCTCTCTCTCTCTCTCTCTCTCTCTCTCTCTCTCTCTCTCTCTCTCTCTCTCTCTCTCTCTCTCTCTCTCTCTCTCTCTCTCTTTCTCTCTCTCTTTCTCTCTCTTTCTCTCTCTTTCTCTCTCTCTCTCTCTCTCTCTCTCTCTCTCTCTCTCTCTCTCTCTCTCTCTCTCTCACCTCCCCCTCTCTCCCGCAGTATGGCGAGCCGTCTGCCGGGGGCGTGTCGCACGTCCCTCCCGGCTGGGACTGGTGGGTCGGACTGGTGGGTAACTCGCGCTACTACAACTACACTCTGTCGGTGAACGGCACGGCGCGGAGACACGGCGACAGATACGAGGAGGACTACCTCACAGACGTCATTGTGAGTATCGACGGAGAGGGAGGGCGCTCCGAGTTGTGGGAGTTTGGAGTCGAATTAGATGGATCGTGTGGATAAGGACGGCGTGGCTCGACCTCGATTCCTTGCGCTATTTATGTGATACAGGAAGTTATACGCAAGCGCTGTTTTGCAAATTTTAAGCACGCTAAGCGTCTACGATTCACCTATGTGCACTATGTTCACGATTGTTATGCTTGCTGTTGCTACTGATATCCGAATTCCTATCCCACCGAGTAACGTTTGAGTGCTTATCTGTTTTGTTCACTGTTCACCCGTCATGTAGGACATGAATATGATGAACCCATCCGTGAAGCGCGTGCTGTTCCTTCTTTCAGACGCGGTACGCTCTGGAGTTTCTGCGGGGCCGGTCCGCCGGCGGCGCGCCGTTTTTCCTGATGGTGGCGCCCCCTGCGCCGCACTCGCCGCAGACCCCGGCGCCTCAGTACGCCCGCCTGTTCCCAGGAGCACGCGCGCCGCGCACCGCCAGCTTCAACATAGCGGCAGAGGTCAGTGCATAGTACCTATGCCCCGGTCAGTACACCGACAGCTTCAACAGACCGGCAGAGGTCAGTATACTGCCAGCTTCAATAGACTAGCACAGGTTGGTGCCACCACCAGCTTCAACATAGCGGCAGAGGTCAGTAACCAGTATACCGCCAGCTTCAGCACTGACCAGCAGAGGTCAGTACACCGCCAGCTTCAATAGGCTGGCAGAGGTCAGTGACCAGTATACTGCTAGCTTCAATAGGCCGGGAGAGGTCAGTAACCAGGATACCGCTAGCTTCAATAGACCGGCAGAGGTCAGTGCACCGCTAGCTTCAGTAGACCGGCAGAGGTCAGCGACCAGTATACCGCTAGCTTCAATAGGCCGGCAGAGGTCAGTAACCAGTATACCGCTAGCTTCAATAGACCGGCAGAGGTCAGTGCACCGCTAGCTTCAGTAGACCGGCAGAGGTCAGCGACCAGTATACCACTAGCTTCAATAGGCCGGCAGAGGTCAGTGCACCGCTAGCTTCAGTAGACCGGCAGAGGTCAGCGACCAGTATACCGCTAGCTTCAATAGGCCGGCAGAGGTCAGTAACCACTAACCAGTATACCGCTAGCTTCAATGGGCCGGCAGAGGTCAGTAACCAGTATACCGCTAGCTTCAATAGACCGGCAGAGGTCAGTAACCAGTATACCGCTAGCTTCAATAGGCCGGCAGAGGTCAGTAACCAGTATACCGCTAGCTTCAATAGACCGGCAGAGGTCAGTAACCAGTATACCGCTAGCTTCAATAGGCCGGCAGAGGTCAGTAACCAGTATACCGCTAGCTTCTTTTTTTTTGTTTTTTTTTTTTTTGTTTTGTTGGGTTAGGCCCTTTCGGTCTGACAAGACCATTGCAGAGCCGGAAGGATAATAGGAATTAGGGGGAGACATTGGTCTGGGCAGGCACCCTAGTGAGTCGCCGGGGCTGAGCCCGTCCAGAGGACAGGCCACCCAGCCCCAAGGCACTCACTGCACCCGGCTACGGGGTGCGCTCCCTCAGGAGCAGCGGTGCCGCTCCAAGGGAGCAGCCCGCATGAGATAAAGTTGCCTGTCCAGCCCGGAAGGGGGTTGCGGCGTGGAGGAGAAGGATTTCAGTATCCTGAGGATAGAAGCACGGAACGGTACGCTAGCTTCAATAGACCGGCAGAGGTCAGTTGGCTCAGCGCTGTCTCAGTGGAGGGTATTCCTATTTATAGCTGTACTGGACAGTGTGAGCTGAGCGTTCCTGTGCTGAAATGAGGCACATGAATGCCCCGCCAAAACGATTCATCTCCATGTTCCTCCCCTTCCTCTGACTCTCTGCGCCCTGATGCAGAGCGGGCACTGCCAGTCGGGTGCTGCGGGAGTCTCCCTCCCCTCCCTGATCCCTCTTTGCTCCTCTGCCCCCATGACAAGCACCGCCTACTGCACGAACCGCCGTCCCCTCAGACCCCCTCTGACCCCTCCCCCCACCCCACACACACTCTGCTCTCAGGACAAGCACCGCCTGCTGCGGGAGTTTCCGTCCCCTCTGATCCCTTCTCTGACCCTTCTCTGACCCCTCTCCTCCGCTCTGCTCTCAGGACAAGCACCGTCTGCTGCGGGAGTCGCCATCTCCTCATGGAGACTCTCTTCTCTGACCCCTCTCCTCCGCTCTGGCCTCAGGACAAGCACCGCCTGCTGCGGGAGCCGCCGTCTCCCCTGCCGGAGCCGGTGCTGCAGACCCTGGACGGCGTGTTCCGTGACCGGTGGCGCACGCTGCTCTCCGTGGATGATATGGTGGCCGCGCTGACCGAGAGGATGGCCCAGATGGGCCTCCTGGACGATACATACCTCATCTACACGTCAGACCACGGATATCACCTAGGTCAGTAGATAGGAGACAATAGACATGTACGGCTGCTGGTCTGTCGTCGAGTGTCTTCTTCACACTTTTCATAACTTCAGTTTATTGTCCCGCGTTCACGGCCGGCCGCTAAGGCTCTGAATTTCCCGCTAATATACAAAGGACTGCGCTTCGCGCTTACCCGTATTGAAAGTTCTCGCTGGCTTTGCGGTAATTAAATGATTTTTGTTTTGTTTTGTTGGGTTAGGCCCTTTCGGTCCAATTAGACCATTTCAGAGCCGGAAGGATGATAGGAATTAGGGGGAGACATTGGTCTGGGCAGGCACCCTAGTGAGTCACCGGGGCTGAGCCCATCCCGAAGGACAGGCCGATCAGCCCCAAGGTACTCAGTACTCACTGCACCCGGCTACGGGGTGCGCTCCCTCGGGAGCAGCGGTGCCGCTCCAAGGGAGCAGCCCGCATGAGATAAAGTTGCCTGTCCAGCCCGGAGGGGGTTGCGGCGTGGAGGAGAAGGATTTCCGTATCCTGAGGATAGAAGCATGGAAAGGTGTGTATTAAATGAATAAAACTGTATCATATGTTGGTCTCTGTCGTCACCTTCGGCTGCCAGTAATTTGATGTTCAAAATCTGGGCATCTCCTATAGCAATTTTGCTCTGAGCAGTTTTAACTTCCCTACCCTCTTGTCTGACGGTTCCCCGTCCCCTCCCCCAGGTCAGTTCAATCTGAGCGGACAGGTTTTACCCCCTCTCATCTGACCTTCCCCCCCACGCTCCCAGGTCAGATCTCTTTGATGGTGGACACTCATGTTTTACCCTCTCCTCATCTGACTGTTCCTCCCCCTCCCGCAGGCCAGTTCTCTTTGACGGTGGACAAGCGGATGCCGTACGAGTTTGACCTGCGGGTGCCGCTGTATGTGCGCGGCGGCCGGCTGCCGGCCGGGCGGGCGGTGCGGGCGCCCGTCTCTGCCGTGGACCTGGCGCCCACAGTGCTGCAGCTGGCTGGAATGGACCCCGACCCGAGATGGACGGCGTCTCACTGATGGAGGTCGGTGGATGGCATCGTTTGGAATTACATAAGAGCCACTTGGAGGCTCAGACTTTCAATGCATGTTTTAAGGCTGATGGTTTGAATGTTAACGTTTATATAGGTTATGTCAGTTATAACAACTTTTACTAAGATGTTAGCTAGCATATGCTTTTGTCGGCCAGTATCGATGTTTGCAGATAATTTGACGCACTTGTTCTTTATGATTTAAGTGCGCTTAGTTTTAGGTATTGTTCAACGTAAATACTGTTAAAACGTATTTGGCGATGCTTTCTAGTTTGTCACTCACGGCATATCATGACCAGACTCCTCGCCGCCCTCATTCGTCCACAGTTTGTGTCTGCCGAGTCCGGGCCTGTAACGGCCGATCCACTGACCTCTGAGCCGCCCCCGCCACTGACCTCTGAGCCGCCGCCGCGCACCGCCCTGCTGGTCAGCTATAACGGCGAAACCAACATGGCGGTGGAGCAGCCGTGTCGGTTCCGGGGCACCAACGTGTCGGTGAGTCCAGGGGGGGGACGTGGTAGGGACAGATGTGAATTGTGATGGTACGATGATCAGGGTCTGAGTGGCATTGGAGCGGGATATCGATGGGAACAGTTGTAAATATCCACGCAGGACACATTGTTTGAGTAGCTTTCACGTATTTGATGAAGCGTCAATAGCCAACATAGAGTCTGGTACACTTCGATTGGCCTGAGTGTCAATTGGCTGCCATTCGGGCCTCTATTGCAGCCATTTGGCAATTCTCTGGGCGGAACTGAAACGCCATATCGGCTCAGTACAGTCGGACCATGACCATTTCAGCCCAGTGTAAATAGTCGCACCCGTGGCCATTTCGCCACTGCTATGTCGAACGGGCCCAATTCCACTTTTCCAGCTCAGTGTTGACCGGTTCGTGATTCGAGTCTGACCCTTGCCTTTCCGCACTGCAGTTACGAGTAGGACGCGTGTTTTCCCCTTTTCGGCTCATAGTTGACCAGATTCCGGATTTTAGC